CTTTTGTAATTTTCACTCCATTTCGAGATACACAATCGACCCCCTGTATGCAGGGGGAGCAGTGCACTTGGACACGGTGCATTTGGACACAGCCAATCACAGCACCGTGTGATTAGAGACATTTGTAGGGTCCCTTGGAACAGCGACTTGTGATTGGACTGTGTCCAATTGCCTTGTGTCCAACTGATATACACCCGTATGCAGGAGCCATTACTCTAACTTGTTCCTATGGTAAGGCATTGAATTAGGGCCAGCGCACGAACATTGCCGTAGCTCCTTACGCCATCTTACGTGACAACCTTACGTTACGTGAGACGTAATGGGTCCTGCACACAGAACGCGGTAATGCTTGCCACGCGGCGGAAGTCCGTGCGATAACCAATCAATATGCTGCTTTCCGTAATAACCTTCTAGCTCTTACGGAAAAACAACATATTGATTGAAAAGAAAATGCAATACTTGCTATTGAACTCCCTGTTGCAAGATATCTGAAAAATGTATCACAATTTTCACTATATAGTTTATAATTTCGTAAAACATTTTTTTCTAACAATGATATCTAAACATAACTAAAAATTTAAAAAGTAGATACATCAAACTATTTTTTACTTGTAAACTATATTTACCTTGATGTTATTATTAATCTGTGTTCCGGAGACAAAGCTTTCTTAGTTTTTTTACCAAATAAGGTTTTAGCATAGTTGATAACTTGTTAAAATGTTGAACATTTATCCTGACATATTTGACAAACATGTCTTCACCAGTTTTTAATTCTTGAAACAGATTTTCATTCTCCTTGCTATTTTCTCTGTTGATTAATTGATCTCACGAGCCATCTTCTATTTTGCCATCTTTTCCATGCTGTCGCATGGACTTCCGTCGCGCGGCAAGCATTACCGCGTCCTGTGTGCAGGAGCCATAAGCTGAACGTACGGCAACGCACGTAAATTTTACGTTACGTTACGTTACGAAGGAACATAGAGGTTCTGTGACAGAGGTAATTAAATCAGATTATTGAATAATAAGTAAAGAAACAATAATAATTTATCTTTACAGCCATAATTAAAAATGTCTATTTTGAGTACATATTAATTTTATTAAACTGTTAAATGTATCTGTACAAAATTATAAACATTGCGCTATAACCTCTTCCCAACATTATGTATAGAATATGTTTGACATATAAATATTGAAATAAAATTTTAGGTTCTCAAGTCAACAAATATGAAAACATCAAAGTCTATGAAGTTAAAATGTTTATTGTTGTTATTACTCTTAATTTATTATATGAGACTAAAACGGAGAAAAACACAAAAGATGGCAAAATAGAAGATGGCTCGTGAGACCAATTAATCAACAAAGAAAATAGCAAGGAGAATGAAAATCTGTTTCAAGAATTAAAAACTGGTGAAGACATGTTTGTCAAATATGTCAGGATGAATGTTCAACATTTTAACAAGTTATCAACCATGCTAAAACCTTATTTGGTAAAAAAACTAAGAAAGCTTTGTCTCCGGAACACAGATTAATAATAACATCAAGGTAAATATAGTTTACAAGTAAAAAATAGTTTGATGTATCTACTTTTTAAATTTTTAGTTATGTTTAGATATCATTGTTAGAAAAAAATGTTTTACGAAATTATAAACTATATAGCAAAAATTGTGATACATTTTTCAGATATCTTGCAACAAGGAGTTCAATAGCAAGTATTGCATTTTCTTTTCGAGTTGGGTAATCAACTATTAGACAGTTAATGAAAGAAGTGTGTCTAGTTATTGTTAATACATTACAGCCTCTATATTTAGCATGTCCAACTGAAGAACAGTGGAAGAATATTGCTGTTTCCTCTGTTGATTAATTGGTCTCACGAACCATCTTCTATTTTGCTATCTTTTGTGTTTTTCTCCATTTTAGTCTCATATAATAAATTAAGAGTAATGACAACAATAAACATTTTAACTCATAGACATAACTAAATAATAATTCAATAATAATAATAAGTCAATTTTTTGTATTTAATGACCGGAACTATTTAAAATTGTTGCATAGAGCTCTAGAACTTTTCAAGAGAGTATCAGAACTCTAAAAAAAATGTCACCTCTATGTTCCTTCGTAACGTAACGTAACGTAAAATTTTCGTACATTACCGTACGTTCAGCTTACGTCTTACGTAACGTAAGATTGTCACGTAAGGTGGCGTAAGAAGCTACGGCAATGTTCGTGCGCTGGCTCTTAAGACCATGGCACACAGAAAAACTTAAGCAGTAAGACGTAAGAAGAAAGCAAATTGACCAATCACAGTCGTTGATTCTTGGACCGTAAGAAGAATCAATGACTGTGATTGGTCAATTTGTTTACTACTTACGTTTTACTGCTTAAGTTTTTCTATATGCCACCAGCTTTAGAAGAACTTGTCATAAACTACAAAAGTACTAGATGGTCGTGCCTATCATCATTTTTGTCCCTAGTGGAACTAACTTTATCTCTAAGGGTGCCGTCCCATTGAGCACGGATCGGAACGCCGGATCGGATTTCTTACTATAATGAGCGTTCCGTTCTCTAGTTCCGTTCCGTAAAAGTTTCCTCTACCAGTCCCATGTAGCAAAAACGGAACGGAATGGCGCGTCGGTCGCAAATAAATATGATTAATTCGTCAATATTTCGTTATTTTGACGCGACAGAATTAATTATATACATAATTTATGCAATTATCTTGCCGATAACATTGTCATGAATATTCTGAAATATTTAATTGAAGAGTGAAATATATTTTATAACTAGAAATCCGTTCCGTTTTTGCTACATGGGACTGGTAGAGGAAACTTTTACGGAACGGAACTAGAGAACGGAACGCTCATTATAGTAAGAAATCCGATCCGGCGTTCCGATCCGTACTCAATGGGACGGCACCCTAATTGTCGTAAAGACCCATTAAGGCTGATATTTCACGTGTCGTACGACAAGCTTTTTAGGTATGTTCATTGGTTGACGAACAGAGAACTTAGAAATATTCTATTCGCCAACCAATAAACGTATCCGAAATGCTTGTCGTACGACACGTGAAATAGCACCCTAAGATTATCTAATAGGCTTGGTTTACATCGTACACTTGATACGCGTACTAAATAATAACTTTCTATTAGATAATCTTAATATCGACTATATATATAAACAACTTAATGTATATTAAGCTGGTATAATATTCATCAACAAAACATATTGTATTGATTGAATATATCGCTGTTGATATGCATTAAGATTATCGAATAGAAAGTTACTATTTAGTACACGTATGAAGTGTACGATGTAAACCAGACGTGGCGTTGCGAGCGTTAAGTGGACCAAATTAACCAACCAAACGATACCGTGGTTACGAAACGAAAAAACGCGTTAAGTCCGTATCAGACTACCGACTGCACAGGCCAACCCGATTGCCGACTACGACTGCCGACTCTCAATGGACCAATCACAGTGAGGTGCCAAGTCGGCAAACATAGTCGGCAGTCGGATCGGCCTGTGCAGTCGATAGTCTGATACAGGCTTCACTCTATTTTTCGAGTCGGCGACTCGAGTCGTAGCCAATCATATGGTAGTTCTTATGGTAACACAATTATTTTCTTCTTTCTTCAAATATTTTGAGATTTCTTAAAAGAAAGTTTTATATTTCTTGACATATATGCCATTATTTTAGTATCACACAGAACTTAATCTAATGACAATGACTGCGTTCAGAAAACATAGCTGATCAGTGAGCGGTCAGTGATTATTGGTCTTTACTGTTAGATCTCTAACTTTAGACCAATTTCATTGACAAATTGCTCAACAATTGCACAACAGTTGAGCAATTCGTCAATGTAATTGGTCTAGATTTAGGGATCTAATAGTAAGAACCAATAATCGCTAATTGTTCACTGAGCGCTTTTTCCGCTGAACGCGCCTATTTATTGCATTTTTTGTTCTCTAGCAAATGTCACTAGTACGATCAGTCGGCGGCAGACGTCAATAAGTGTGATTGACCGACTGGAGTCGGTAGTCTGATACGGGCTTTAGATGACCTTCAACATTTGTTTCATACGTTTCCACGTCATTTGTATCATTTGATAGTGGCTTGGTTTACATCGTGCATTTGATACGCGTAATAAATAGTAACTTTCTATTAGATAATATTAATATCGACGATATATATATATATATATAAACAACGGTATATTAAGCTGGTATAATACTCATCAACAAAACGTATTGTATTGATAGAATGCGTTGCTGTTGATATGCATTGTCGATATTAAGATTATCTAATAGAAAGTTACTATTTAGTACGCGTATCAAGTGCACGATGTAAATCAGGCCAGTATCTGATACGCGTATCAAGTGCATGATATAAACTAGGCCAGTATAGACATCTGTGTATACTGTGTACGGCTGATGGCTCCTGCACACAGGATGCGGTAATGCTTGCCATGTAATGTTTTTCCGTAAGAGCTAGAAGGTTATTACGGAAAGCAGCATATTGATTGGCTGTCGCGCGAACTTCTGCCGCGCGGCAAACATTATCACGTCCTGTGTGCAGGAGCCATGAGTTCCCACTGAGCACGTCACGCGTCGCGTCGTCGGTCGTGTCACGAGTTTAACCAATCAAATCGTTCCATTGTAACAAGCGCGTCATCCCAATTAGAGGATTTGATTGGTTAAAGGCCAAATCACACTAGCGATTGACGATTGAAATTAAAGATTAGATTTTAACGGATCAACAAGTTTCATCCTTGGCTTGCTTTGTTTCAATTGGTCAAGTTCCAATTTTCAACCGTCAATTATCTATCGCCAATCGTTAATGTGATTTGGCCTTAATGGCTCCAGTACACAGGATGCGGTAATGCTTACCGCGCGGCGGAAATCCGCGCGACAGCCAATCAATATGCTGCTTTCCATAAGAGCTAGAAGATTATTACGGAATATTGTATATTGATTGGCATCAACTTGATGTCGCATTAACTTCCGCTGCATGGTAAACGTTGTTGCGTGCAGGAGCCATAAATTTATTGCTCCAGTGCTGACAGTTCAATTAAAAAGAACAAACCTAGCATTTCATCGGTGACAAAGAATTTTGCAAATAAGCAATGGCGTAAGGTCACTAGTAGTTAGGTGCACTCAGCCAATTATCTTTAAGTCTTTAAGAATTTTGCAAATCATTGGATTCGTGTCTAAATATTCTTCAGTCAAACCAATCAATTCCTGTAATTCCTCTTATCATAGTGAGTTTAAACATACAAAGTGAAAAAACTATAAGATAAGGTCTAAAGTCATATAGAGAGAGAAAGAAAGAGAGAGAGGAAGAAAAAGAGAGAGAGAGAGAGAGAATTGTGCAAATGACGTGTTAAGTTTCCGTGAAATTTGTTACATAGTTATCGTGAAAAGATGAGCATGAATGAAAATGAAACTGTCGAAGAATACGAACCTTCTATTAGGAATGTGATCGAGCAACATTCTCTGCGATGGATATTTGTAGGCGGCAAAGGTGGAGTTGGAAAAACAACTTGCAGGTATAACATAACCTAATAATATAGTCTCAGCTTTTTTCCCTTTTGTGAAATAAATCAGTAAAAATCTAAACATTTTTACACGTATCACTTATGGTCTACTTATACAATTATACAATTAAATACATATGTTCATGTACATATAAAACTGGCATCCTAATTTTTCTCTATATAAAATAATAAGATAATTTTGACATTTGATGCATGTTTTAAATACTTAACATTCTTTTATTATAATTTTTTCTTGTAAAATAAAATGCAAAAAAGTATGTTAAATGAAGTAAATATGTCCAGATATATAAATTTATGTAATTATTTATTTAAATGAAAAGTAAGTTGAAAACTGGTTCATATTATCTTTATTTTATAGTTGCTCTCTAGCGGTACAGCTATCCAAAGTTAGGGAGAGTGTTCTTATTATATCTACAGACCCAGCACATAATATTTCTGATGCCTTTGATCAAAAATTTAGCAAGATACCTACAAAAATAAAGGGTTTTGATAACTTGTTTGCAATGGAAGTTGATCCTAATGTTGGTATTACAGAATTACCAGAGGAATATTTTGACGGTGAAGCAGGTTTGCATTTAAAGTAATCTTATTTTTGTCTAATATTCACACAATATTTTTGAATGGAAGTTTTATTATATATTAAAAACTACTAATATCACTTTTGTATCAATATAAATTTGAAACTAGAGTACAAAATTACATTATATATATATATATATATATATATATATATATATATATATATATATATATATATATATATATATGTGTGTATAAATATGTATATATATATATATATATATATATATATATATATATATATATATATATATATATATATATATATTATCATGTATAAAATATAGAATTGTTTTATTTATAAGTCAGACTAAGATAGAATCTTTGCTTTGGAAAATATAGAAAATGTATAACAAAAGAACATACTACTAAGCATTTATACAAAATTACTTGGGACGTAGAAAAATATTGTCTATTATACAAAAGTTTCAGGAGGAGAAGCAATGAGATTAAGCAAAAATGTTATGCAAGAAATTGTTGGTGCATTTCCTGGTATAGATGAGGCAATGAGCTATGCAGAAGTTATGAAGTAAATGAATACATACACATTTCTTATTTTTGAGATACTAAAAAAATTATCTCACCTTCCATTTTCTTTGTTCATACCTTTCATCTTTCTCTCTCTTATTTCTCTTTTCTTTTATATATATATATATATCTGTCTATTTAAAATTAAAATCATCTATAAAGTTTATTATTTTCTATTACTTTTGTTTATCCTCAATCTTTTTAATTTTTCATCATCTTATATAAATCAATATTTAATTATATCATCCATATTTTATCCATGTAATTAATTTCTTGTTTCTTGTTAATATGGATTTTTTCTATCTTTAGGCTTGTGAAAGGAATGAATTTTTCTGTTGTGGTATTTGATACTGCACCTACTGGACATACTCTGAGACTACTATCATTTCCACAAGTAGTTGAGAAAGGATTGGGGACATTAATGCGTCTGAAGATGAAGATTAGCCCTTTCGTTACACAGGTCAGTAAACTAATTATTTCAATTTAGATTAATTTAGAATTAACACATTCATTACTGCAAGTGTTGAGAAATTTTGTGAAAAATATACTAGGAAAAAATGTCTATTAAGTGCTCGTCTCGTTTTGATTAAACTTGGTATACTTATAGAATAACCAAAGTCAAGATATTCCTTTCATCATTTGAAAACATAAGTTTAGGAGATAAAAATATGATTATATGTTATACATTTAAGTTTCATTCTGTTTATATTATCTCAATAACTATTGATGGTATAATAAACTTTTCAAACAGACGTTTTATGTTTTGCGTAAAATGCAATTATATATGCATATATATTAACAAAAATATTTTAAATAAAATAGCCTCTATCAGCTATTTTTTTTAACATGTTGTATAATGTTTTACATGTTTAATTGATTTCCATTGATTGTATAAAAACTTAACTGTTAATTGAATTACTGAAAATATAGCAAATCAATGTAATTGAAGACAAATGCATCTTTCATCTTATTTCATTGTAATCTATTGATTAACACAAGCAATTTTTCAAATACATGTAATTATATTTGATACTTAATGACACACAATAGCATCATAATGCCAATGTCAATAAAAACAAATAAGATTTTTTAAGGAGTCATTCCACTGTGAAATATTAAAAAATTAACGATTTTCGAGGATTTTTTTACCCTATGAAAAAAATATTTGTATAGAAACTAAAAAGCATACTTTTACTTTGTTATCTTTAAAGTGTATAAAAAATTTTAGTCACGTTTTTTTCTTTTTTTTATCAAAAGAGCTCTGTAAATTTTGCGCCTCGAAAAATAGGTACTTCGGCGGTGTTGATGATTTTGAAAAAAACCATGCATCTGAAACAGATATTTCAAAAAGATTATTAAATTAAATGAGTGTTGTTATCTCCCGAACTAGAACTAGTTGAATCTATAAATAAAATAACAATGGCGGACGTTTAAAGTTAGACATGCGAAATTTTTATTTTTTCTCGTAATTTTTTAAAGTAAAAGGTAGGAAAGACAAATTGCGTAAACATGATTCTAGTTCCAGCAATAGCTATTGATGTGCTGAATAACATATTAAAAGGACCCCGCACAAACCTTATGGAAAATGGGTCCCGGTGGATTTGGCTGAAACTTTGGAAATTTGTAGTTTACGTGATCCTGATGAAAAGTTCTCATTGCCTCAACTTGATTCATTGAGCCGTATGAGTCCTAGGAACCGTCGAAAGTAGGAAATAAGCGACTGCCATCGCCACTGTATAGGTAACCATCTGGTAATTCCTATCCCTTCCCTACCCTCTTCCCATTTCTCTTTCTCTCTTCCCCTCTCCCTTCCCCTCTCTTTCTCCTCTCTCTTCTTCTTTAATTAGTTTCCGTTATTTTATGTTAGCTTGCTTTCATTTACATTACTTTGCGTGATTTGTCCAAATACCTTTTCTTGCGATGAAGGAGTGAGGATTTAACGTTATATCAGATCCAATTGGATCATCCGGATTACAAGAATCTGAATGTCACTTTAAAAGGTTTTACCGTCGACATTAGCGTTACCCAATGTGCACCACGGGGAGGTTGCGCGATCGGAATTTTGCACATTATGTGGCCCTGAAAAGGGCCGTTTGTGTGAAGGTGTATGTGTGTGTGTGTGTGCGTGCGTGCGTGTGCACATTGGGTAACGCTAATGTCGACGGTAAAACCTTTTAAAGTGACATTCAGATTCTTGTAATCCGGATGATCCAATTGGATCTGATATAACGTTAAATCCTCACTCCTTCATCGCAAGAAAAGGTATTTGGACAAATCACGCAAAGTAATGTAAATGAAAGCAAGCTAACATAAAATAACGGAAACTAATTAAAGAAGAAGAGAGAGGAGAAAGAGAGGGGAAGGGAGAGGGGAAGAGAGAAAGAGAAATGGGAAGAGGGTAGGGAAGGGATAGGAATTACCAGATGGTTACCTATACAGTGGCGATGGCAGTCGCTTATTTCCTACTTTCGACGGTTCCTAGGACTCATACGGCTCAATGAATCAAGTTGAGGCAATGAGAACTTTTCATCAGGATCACGTAAACTACAAATTTCCAAAGTTTCAGCCAAATCCACCGGGACCCATTTTCCATAAGGTTTGTGCGGAGTCCTTTCAGACTAATCGGTAGTATAATTTTTGAGATTTCCTTTATAGAAATATCATACTAAGAATCATTGATAATTACTTATTTTCAGTATTAAAAATAATACTGGATAATAAGTAATTATCAATGATTCTTAGTATGATATTTCTATAAGGGTTTACCTACGCCGTATGAAAAAATGTCGTTTTAAGAAAAAGGCGTTTAAAGATTTTCTTTTCCATATAACATATTTAAATGGTACTTACATCTAATTAACGATACCAGATCCATATAATATTCCTTCGGCTTCTTCGAAGATCTCATTCTGAGCTGATTTTTTGTTCCTCCGAGTAATTCGAGCTTCTTTTGATTTGGCTCCCGCTTCGTGGTTGTCGCTGTGAGCTCTTTCAGTGACGGTGGCGGCTTCTGGTCCAATCGTCATTCCTATGACCACTATAATTTTGATAATTGGAGGAAATCCTTCATTAAAAATGCATGCAACGCAGAATATGGTGATCTGAAGAATTTTTTTATCAGCAAAGATATGTTTCGGAACGAGATGCCAAACGCACGAGTCGAAGCTCTCGTTATTATTTTGAGTTTCGTTGCCCTTGCATCTTTCTAGCAAATCTTCAGAAGTTAGTTTTTCGTAAATAGGCTTCAGAATATCTGCAACTTCATTACTCAATGCGGGCGGATGTTTATAATTGATTAAAGTTCCTACAACCTTGTGTTTTCACCAGTCGCACTAACAAGGGACCTGATAGAACTGTCCCTTATCGATTTTGGCGCCCTTTGGATATGTTGTAGAGCATCAAAAGTAAGAGACCCATATTTTTTATATCGGCTTATCTCGAGGTTTAGGGATTAAAACAGCCCCTTGAAAAAGTGAATTTTTTCATTTTTATGGAATAATTCCTAAGATATGAGGTATATGAAAAAATGTTTCCTGCAAAAGTTTTACAATATTTAATACGCCTTCCAACGGCGTTTTCATTTTTTAAATGTAAAATTTTTTACTCTCCTTTCCCCTCCCCCTCCACTCGTTATCTTCGCAAAATTTTAAAGTTTTTGTGAGGAAAAAAATTGCAGAGTATTTAATATTAAATCCATCCATATATAATAGTAAAAGTTGTTGATATTCCTGGCCGTGGAACTAACTCCATTGACCAAGGTAAATAATAAAAGTTGGTTTCGCTCTAATCGTTGAAAAACATCGTGATAACATCGTGCTATAGGTGCCACACTGTCCAAGTAGATGATTACTGTAGATAGATATGTTACTATAGATAGGAAAACATAATGAATTGTAGAAAAATAATACATAGCATTTAATATATAATGACAATTGCACTTAATATATAACGTTTATAATACATAATGTGCGTATTATTATATTATATTAATCATATAATTAATATAATATTAAAGAAAAATCGATACAAAACTTGCATACACACAGAAAATAAATGTTTTATTTATGACACATATTGGTTACAAATGTGATGCTCATGGAAAAAATATGTGATGCAAAGTGATTGTTTGCATCAAGAATAAATAATTACATTGTTCGACAAAAATCGAACTTTTTTTCGTGTCACGAGTACGAATAGTTATTTCCGATGTATTCTTGCCTGCTGAACACAAATCCGCCATCCAAATTTGGCTATCACATCACAATTTTGAAAAAAATGGCGTCAAAGAGACCAAAAATTACGATTTTGAGGGTTTTCATGGCGCTGTAACGTAAACAGTAAAATTTTTTCTACATTTCATTAATGCCATGCAAAGATATCAACTTTCAGCTTAAAAATATATCTGGTCTCGTTTCTTAACAGTTTTTTGTTTGCAGCATATGGCTAATCAGAAACAGTCGTCGGATCATTAAGGTCATCGGAACAATTTTTTTTCTTTTTTTTTACAAAAAGGCGAATAGTCATTTCCGATGAATTTTTGCCTGTTGAACTCGAATCTGTCGTCCAAATTTGGCTATCACGTCACAATTTTGAGAAAAAATGAAGCAAGGTACAAGATAAGATTCCTGTAATCGGCTTTTTAGCTATTTTGACGTCATTTTTCTCAAAATTATGACGTGACAGCCAAATTTGGACGACGGATTTGTTTTCAGCAGGCAAAAATACATCGAAAATGATTATTCGTACTGGTGTCACGAAAAAATGTTCGATTTTTGTCGAACAGTGTAATTATTTGTTCTTAATGCAAACAATCACTTTGCATCACATATTTTTTCTATGAGCACCACATTTGTAACTAATATAATATGTGTCATAAATAAAACACATTTATTTTCTGTGTGTATGCAAGTTTTGTATAGATTTTTTTTTAATATTATATTAATTATGATTAATATAATATAATAACACACACTATATTATATATTAAATATATGCAATTGTCTATGTGTTATTTTTCTACAATTTATTATATTCTCCTACCTATAATAACATATCTATCTATAGTATCCACCTACTTGGACAGTGTGACGCTTATAGTACGATGTTATCACGTCGTTTTCCAACGATTAAAGCGAGACCAACTTTTACTATTATATATGGATGGATTTGGTATTAAATGCTCTACAATTTTTGTACTTACAAAAACTTAAAAATTTTGTGAAGATTTCAAATGGAGGTGGGAGTAAAAAATTTGACATTAAAAGAAAATGAAATATGTCGTTGCAAAGAATATCAAATACTATAAAATTTTTGAAGGAAACATTTTTTCATATATCTCATATTTTAGAAATTATTTCATAAAAATGAAAAAGTTCATTTTGTCAAGGGGCTGTTTTAACCCCTAAATCTCGAGATAAGCCGATATAAAAAATATGTATCTCTTATTTTTTCGATGCTCTA